GTCCATTGGTTATACTGTATTCAGCTGTTTTCAGGAACTGCTGAAGGATCCAAGGTTCTGGATAGCAATTGCTGCTTATTTAGCTCATGTTTTATTTGCTATGTTTTTCAACATTTCCTTATCACCAGTCACTGACCTCCCCTAATAAAAGCCAACTGATTAAAAAATAAAATGGGGGAGGGGATGAAAAACTATGAAGAAACAGAGCAGTCTTGGCAATACTTACAAATTTATACGGAGGACAAAATGGCACTCTGATTTAACAGTTCCAAGAATTGTTTACAAAAAGACCTTATGATTTAAAAAAGAGCCTTCTGAATGCAAAAGGATAGAAGAGGAAGAGAGAAAAGAGAAGGGTAATAAAAACCAGGGACTGGGCTTTTCCCATGAACATGGTATGGTACATATTGTACGAAAGAGACTTTCTCTTTACATGGTGTATTTTGAAGCTTGCTTGATCCACTAAAACTACACTATGCTGATAAGAAAAGCTCCATACCCTGGCAGAAAGCAAGCCTCCAGGTCCAGGATTTAAACCACAGTCAATCATTGGAAGTCCAACGCCCTTAACCACCATGCCACCTGCTGTCCCTAAACAAATAATTCTTTAAAACAATTTACAAATACTAGCGGTAGGGGCTTGTACGCCTGGTGTGGGAGCTACAGGACTCAGAGATTGTACTTGAAGTAGTGAGTGCACCAACATGTCCCGTGGTTCCAGCGCTGGTTTTGACCGCCACATTACCATTTTTTCACCCGAGGGCCGGCTCTACCAAGTAGAATATGCTTTCAAGGCTATTACTGACCTTATGTCAGTAGCTGTGAGAGGGAAAGACTGTGCAGTAATTGTCACACAGAAAAAAGTTCCTGACAAATTATTGGATTCCAGCACAGTGACTCACTTCTTCAAGATAACTGATAACATTGGCTGTGTGATGACAGGAATGACAGTTGACATCCCAGGTACAGAGGGCACGCTATGAGGCAGCTAATTGGAAATATAAGTATGGTTATGAGATTCCTGTGGACATGCTGTGGGAAAGAAGTGCTGATATTTCTCAGGTCTACACACAGAATGCGGAGATGAGGCCTCCTGGTTGTTGTATGTTAATTGGTATAGATGAAGAACAAGGTCCTCAGGTGTACAAGTGTGATCCTGCAGGTTACTACTGTGGGTTTAAAGCCACTGCCGCAGGAGTTAAACAAACTGAGTCAACCAGTTTCCTTGAAAAAAAAGTGAAGAAGAAATTTGATTGGACATTTGAACAGACAGTGGCAACTGCAGTTACATGCCTCTCTACTGTTCTGTCAATTGACTTCAAACCTTCAGAAATAGAAGTTGGAGTAGTTACAGTTGAAAATCCTAAATTCAGGATTCTTACAGAAGCAGAGATTGATGCTCACCTTGTTGCTCTAGCAGAGAGAGACTAAACATTGTCATTAGTTTACCAAATCCATGATGTCACTTGCCTGTGTGTTTGGTGACAACAAACCAACATATGGAGGCCCCTGGATTGTAAAAGGAACCTCTTCCACTCCTCCTACTGCTGCAGTGGTTAGGACTCTGTATAAATAAAAACAATGCTTTTGGAAAATAAAAAAAAAAGAAAAAAAAAAAAAGAAAAGCTCCATACTCTAAAAAAAGAAAAGACCATGCATGGATTTTAATATTTTATTTTGCACCAAAATAAGCTCATACTTTAATTCTGTTTTTCCGATGAACGTTTCAAAGTTCCCTTGTATTCCTGTGATGACCACACCCACCGCAGGAACCTCTGCTGGACCAGGGCCCTTATCTGACTTATCTCACCAAGCATGTTTGGTCACTGCTGTTTGGGAAGCTCACTTTCCACCTCAGAGCCTAGTCACAAAACAGATATACTGTGTTGGTGTTCTTTTAAGTAATTAAAAGGGTGGAATCAATTCTTACGTCGGAAACATTGGTCCTTCCCGAGTCATGCATGGAGTAGGCTGTTTTTCTCACAGGAAGGAATCTTAACTGTTAGTTCCACGGAAAGTTCCAGCAACTGTGATTTTTAAAACCAGAGCTGCTGACTCTCAATTTTAATACCTAAATGGTTGAGGTCTGCTTGAGTCATTCTGAAGAGGTCACTATGAGAACAAAGACCACAGGGACCACAGTGGAAGAAAGAAAGGAATTCTTAATATCAAAGCAGTGATGGAGAAAGAAAACCAAGTGGGTGGAGTCCGGCACTGTGTCTGGCATATGATAATTCTCTCTGTATCTATTTCTTTATCTATATCTACGTTTAGATAGAGATAAATATAGATATACATAAACATGTGTATATCTGAATTATACCAGAAAAAATATATTTAAAATTTAATTTCTCATTGAGCATATACCTGACAAGATATTGGTTTGTTGAGACATTAATGAAAGCTGAAATTTCTACTTAAAATTTTTTTTAAGAATTATTTTATTTAACTTTCAGAATTTTATTTATTTATTTTAATTTGACCAGAGAGGGACAGAGTGAGAGAGAGAGTGAAAAGGAAAGTGAGAAAGCAACTTGCCAGGTCTGGGACTTGAACCACAGTCAACCATGTGGGAGTCCAGCACCCTTAACCACCACACCACCCACTGGCCTAGCTACTTAAAAATTTTGAGAGTTTCTTTTTTGTTGTTAAAATATAATATCTGTAAAGTGCTTAAGTCTTAAATCGTTAGCTTGATGTGTCTTTTTCTTTTTTAAAAAATATTTATTTAATTTTATTTATTGTTGTAATTATTATTTTTAATTTGACCAGAGAGAGACAGAAAGAAAGAGAAAGAGAAAGTGAAAAAGCAAGCCATCAGGTCTGGTACTTGAACCAGGTCAGCCATGTGGAAGTCCAGCACCTTAAGTCCACACCACCAGCCATCCCCAGCTTCATGTATTTTTCTTGGAGAGGTTTTTGCTATAGGGCACTTGTGCTCACCAGAAAGACAGAGAGAGACAGAGAGACAGAAAGCGAGAAATCACCCCCCCTCCCCCAGCAGGATGGTCATGCAGCAATCCCTTCTCCATTCTCTTCCTGGGATCTTGGGCATATACGCACACACACCCGGCATGAGTTTAAGCCACTGGGTCTGGGACTTGAACCACAGTTGACTATGTGGGAGTCCAGTGATGTAACCATTATGCCATCTGCTGGTCCTCCCAGCTTGATATATTTTTAAAAATGAAATTCACCTGCAGAATCATCTGTCAGACCAAATCATTGAGTATTGAAAATAGCCATGATCCTGACTTCTGATACCAAAGATTCATTTTGTCTGTTTTGAAATTTATATAAATGGAATCACAGAATAAGTATTTTCTTGTGTCTGACATTTTCCTCTCAACATTCTACTTTTTTGTGTGTAGTAGAAACCTTACTCCTTTTTTGTTTGTTTGTTTTTGCTATAAAACATGTGTTCTCACCAAAGAGACAGAGAGAGAGTGAGAAAGTGAGAAATCACCCCCCCCCAGGGGGGATGGCCATGTCACAGTCACTTCTTCTGGGATTTTTGGACATGCACTCTGTTGTGATTTTCAATCTGGTGGGTCCAGGACTAGAACCACGCAGCTGGCCATGTAGGACCCAGCACGTTAACTTCCATGCCCCCTACTGGCTCCAAAATGTTTATTCTTTTTTTTTGTTTTTGGAGAGGTTTTTGCTGTAAAGGCACGTGCGTTCACCAGGAAGACAGAAAGAAAGAGACAGAGAGACAGAAAGAGAGAAATCACCCGGCCATGCCACAATCCCTTCTCCTCCATTTTCCTCTCGGAATCCTGGATACACATGCACATGCGCCGGGTGTAAGTTTAAGCCACCAGGTCCGAGACTTGAACCACAGTCGACTACATGGGAGTCCAGTGACATAGCCATTATGCCAATTACTGGTCCCCCCAAAAGTTTATTCTTGATCTACATTTATATAGTGTTCCATTTGTGACTATATTACTTTATTCATTCTTGCCACTTGATTTATCTTTGTTTTTGTTTTGTTTTAATTATTTCTTAATTTAATTTTATTTATTATTATTTTTTAATTTGCTATAGGGCAAATTTAAGAGAGGGGAGAGAGAGAGAGAAAAAGTGAGAAAGTAAGCCACCAGGTCTGGGACTCGAACTATGGTTGACCAGGTGGGAGTCTAGCACCTTAGCCACTACACCACCTGCTGGCTCTGCCAGGATTTATTACTATGTTAACCATGGTCTACCACACGGAAGTCCAGCGACATAGCCATTACGCCAACTGCTGGTCCCAAGCTGTGGTCTTTTACCTGTGTATCAGGACCACAGAGAACCAGCCCAGTGGACATGTGATTTCTGCATAGCAATAACTATCTGTAAGAGTGAGCGGGGGGGGAGGGGCAGGTGGCGTGGTGGTTGAGACCTGGACTCTCCCACATGGCCAACCGCAGTTTGAGTCCTGGACCTGGTGACTTACTTTCTCACTTTCTCTCTCTCTTTCTCTCTCTCTCTCTGTCTCTCTCTCTGGTGAACACACGTGCTCTATAGCAAATTTTAAAAACTGATAATAATAATAAATAAAATTAAATGATTTTTTTTTAAAAGAGGGAGCATGAACACCTAAGTACATCTCATTAAACCAAAATAAACATATTTTAACTGATCTTTCTTTAACTGAATGTTTTTGATAGTACACATATACTTAACAATATAATTTTACACAGGATGCTAACAGCACTTTTCTTTATGTTTACAGGTAGGCTTAAACATACAGACTTTTCCATTAATATTCATATCATAGATCATTCAAACCTAACTCCTACATAGATGCATTTCAATTTATTTAGAATTTAAAGACTAATGGCAATAATCAGGCAAAAGAGTATGTAAATTTATTTTACATCATTGACTGAAAAATAAATCCAAGAAAAAGCAAATAGAATTTATTAAGGTCTCATGAGCCCAGAAGGAGGTGGTGCCTGACTTGGAGGGGTACTTGCTGTGTCCAAATAATCTCTTATTTAGAACTTTTGTGACTGCAGGATTATGGAATCATCAGTTTTCTTTCTGCCGGACATGGTGCTGCCAATCTCCTTAATTCGATAGCCCGGTCTTTTAAGGTCTGTAGAAACAATCACAAAATTGAAGCGTGTGACCTCCTTTCTAGCTTCTAAGTAGACTTATTTTACTAAGCTAGTCAGTTCTTTCAATTTTGCATCCATTCAACTGTAGAGCTGCAGCTCGCTGGATGGTATGTTTCCATAGGAAAACCCATCCATTCAGTAGCGGCCACCATTATTGGTGGTCAAAACCCACAGCAAGAAGAGGAAGCATGTCTTCTCCTGGGCTACAGGCTTCTTGGGCTCCTTTTTAAATTCCTTTGGGTAACGTGCAACTCCACTGCCATCTTTTTCCTATAGCCCCTGAGATGTGCTCCCTGACCTCTGACCCCTGCAACAAGCATGAGCACCCTTTAACTGAATTTTTAAAAGACCAGCAGCCAAGCCAATTTCGCCTGGCACGGAGAAAAGTCAGGCAGAAAGTGTCTGAGTCAGATTGGCAGTCATCATTGATTGCTTGCAAAGTTTTTTTTTTTTTTTTACTTTTTTTTTGGGGGGGCGGGGAGAGGTTTTTGCTATAGGGTGCATGTGCTTGCCAGAAAGTCAGAGAGAGAGACAGAGAGATAGAAAGCGAGAAATCACCCCGCAGGGGAATGGCCACACCGCAATCCCTTCTCCTCCATTCTCCTCTCAGGATCTTGGGTACGCACGTACACGCTCCTGGCGTGAGTTTAAGCCACCAGGTCCAGGACTCAAACCACGGTCGACTGCATGGGAGCTCAGCAACATAGCCATTACACTAACTGTTGGTCCCTGCTTGCAAAGTTTTTGAAATGACCAAGTTGTCACATTGTAAAGGCTCCTCGAAGGACCATGGAAGGAGCTCATAAGCCTAAGCTTCATTAGCTACTGGGAAAACCCCCCCGCTGGTTGGAGACACTGTGTTACACTGGTAGCCAGACAATAATGAGAGGGCAAACATCCTTGACATCACTGATTCAGAGAAGGTGCTACAATCGTAAGAAGATGATGAGCTCAGTTGTGCTATCCTCAGAGAACAAACAAGCTTTCCATCCAACAGCTGGGAGAGCCTGGGTCAGATCTTAAGGAGCCAACACCCGACACAGGTTTGTCAGATCTTAGAGCCTGCCCCAACTGTCTCCCCTCTCCCTATCTGATCCCGTGCCTATGCCAATGCCAGTCTCCTCTACCCCAGCAGACAATGATCCCAAACCCTACGGTGGAGTATGGGGGCTCGAGACTTAGAAAGTGCATGATTCTATGGAGAGAGATTAGTCAGGAGACAGAGGCTTGAATGAGATCCACGAGTCACCTTACCCAAGGTCTTCCAGACCAAGACGTACCTCAGAGCAAGGGGCCAGCCTGCTCCTCTCCTTCCGTGACACCTCCTGGTGAACACCCAAACGCCAAAGAGCACGTGATGATGATGATGATGATGACGATCACGATACATGGGATGGTGATGGGCACGACATATGCATTTAATGTGGTGGAGGAAGACTGGTTGGTATATGGGGTCTTTGACGGTGGCACTAAAACAAAAAAAAAAAGCACAAGCCTTGTCAAACCTAAACATAGACTTTTCCCAGGATGTGCTATCCCTGGGCAGCCCAGATGCCCCACCTATTTCCTGACTCACTCTGTGATGGCTGCTTTACCAGTGCCCAGGGTATGAAGATGACTAGGGGTTGTGCCTTCTCCTCATAGAGCTCATATTTCTATTGGACAAAATAGCAATGTCCATATGACTATTTTACAGTTTGTACTATGGCTAGAATTCTGTGGAGGATGGCATGATTCGTTGCACTTAATTCTGTCTGGGGAAGTTGGTTACAGCATTACGAAGGGACATTTGAGCTGGTTGAAGGGTAGCTATAACAGAGGGAGAGGAGAAGGCCTGGGAGCGTATAATGAGGCATACAGATTTAAAGACCACTTAGCAGTTATGAGTGACCAGATCACTAGTTAATTTGGAAGTGACCACACTGAGAAGAGGGATGGGAAAGGGTTGTTGGCAGGAAATCCTTACAGCTGTCACTGACTCTCCAGACAGGAAACCCCACTAAGAATCAATCAAGAAATTGATTGGTCTGTCAAATTTTCCATCACACAGGTGCTCCAGCCCACAGAGGGAAGGAGCTAGACCTTCAACGAGAGCTGCTACATCCTCCCACGGTCAGTTACCTGTGGGCTCCAGCATCGTCTCCCAGAGCTCTAAGAACTCCCTGAGCCAGTGGTTGCAGTCTCCCACAGAGATCTTCCTGAAATACTCCGCCAGCCCCCTGTCGCTCTCCCACTCCTCCTTGATCCCTCTGGCTCCAGGGCTGAGTATGGTCCAGGTCATGCTCATTGCATCTAAGAGGAGGGCTGTCCGTCCATTGATGCTGAACTGCCAGGACGCACCGGCGCACTGCTCTGCTTCACGCCGGCAAAGCAGCTCGGCCTGCAGCCTGAGAGGACCTGCAATCCACACGCAAAGCCATCGTCCTGGACTCCTGAGAGTCGTCATCTCCCAGTAAGGCAAGTGCTCCTCTGCACGTCTAGGGGGATGCATTCTTTTCTTCACCACTTGCCCCTCACCCATGAGCTCCCTTGTGCCTCTAAGCTTGGTCAGGGCTCAGCTCTTTACACCAACACCCCTAGAGCCCCTCCCTCCCATGTGGGTCCCCTCCCTGATCTTGCTAACTGCCCCCTCTCCCACCCATCCCACTCTTACCCTCGGGCTCCTTTTTCTCCAGTGTGATGCCAGACAGGAGGCTCCTGAGCTCGCGCCCCACTTCTCCCAGAGTTTGGGTCAACTCTGTCCATGCCCTAGTGGTGTTCACCTCCTCCCCCAGGACACCCACAGGTCTGGCCTTGTCGCTGTCACTGTCATACTGGAGGAACTTCTCTCTGTCCACTGAGCCCTGAACGGCACACCAGGGCTGCTCAGGGCGGGACTGAGACTGGACGGTGAAGTTGAGACAAAGAGAATGAACATCTGTGAGAGAGAAACACAGTGAGGCTCAGACAGGGAGAAGGGGGCCCATAAAATGCATATCCTGTGACCCCAAGACTCCCTCTGAAGGGCCAGGCTCCATCCCAGACCCCTGAACCCTCTGGTTCATCTTTGACTGTCCAGATTAGTAAGATGATGCCCCCATAGACCCTTCAGGTGCACATGGTATTACCTGGATGATTTGTCCGGTAAACACGGTGTTACCAACTTTACAGTTTCAAAATTTTCCCGACAGGATCTGTCCTCCTGGAACTTAAAATCTAGCTGAACAGTCAGGGCTTTCACCAGAAAGGAAAAAGATGTGTCCCAGGACACATGCCAAGTTCCTCACAGGCCCAGGTAGAAAGAAGAACAGGAGAGGGAGATCTGCCTCATAGGAGGCAGAGCCTGGGCAGGCTGGGGCCTCACTCCAGATCTGGGTGTAACATCCGGGAATCCTGTCCAGCTAGAACACGCCCTCACCAGCCTCAGGAGCACCCCCTTGCCTGAGCCTTTCTGAAGCCCCAACCTCCTTTTCTCCTCCTTGCCTTCCTCTCTCTCCCCCTCCCTCTCCTCGTACCTCCCTCCTCAGCAGGTCTTTCAGGGAACTCACAGCCCAGAGTCATCCTGGCTTCGGTCAGCAGCAGTAGAGATGACAGATACACAATGACTAAAGCCAGAGGCAGACTTGCTGATTCCATTGTGGAAAGTAACTGGGTAGCTGCTGTGGGCATCCACATGGTCACCTATGGGCATGGGCACAGTCATTGCCCAAAGTCTCTACCCTCGGACAACTGAGAACTGACTAACCTATTGAAACCCAAGTGAAGACAATTTTGTCAAAGGATTGTTCTGCAAGTATACCGAATATGTTTATCATTAAAAAAGAAAAAGAAAAAGAAAAAGCAATATTGAATCTCAAAATTCACTTCAAATAAACTCTCTCCTCTCTCTCCTCTCCTCCACTGGAGGAGTCTGACCCGGTAGGGCCCCAGGATCAGTTTTGAGCTTTTGACCTTTAAGTATTACTTAGGTCGGGTCAGCACATTGGCAAGGCTGCTGCTGTGTGTCCCCGTGACCTAGAAATAAAACTTAGGCTGAATTAGCATGTCTGCAGGGCCGCTTGCTATTTGTTCCAGAAACTGTGGTAGCCAAGCGACCCCTCTCTGACTCCCCAATATACTACTATAAAAGAATTACATAACTCTCTTATACATCCTGAGTATATGATAAAATTTTCCAGGAAGTCCCCCGACCGCTCCACTTTACTCTGATCACCTACTGTTAATTACAACGCTTTATCTCTGTGGTCACAGTAGAGGATGGGCTGAAGTTCTATCTAGGCAGAAATAATCTTGACCTTTGGAAGGCCCTTCAAAATACATTTAAGGTAAACTTAATCTTTTCTTTACATAAAATAAGATTAGGCCAAAACTGGCCCAGAGCACCCCCGCACTCACCAAGTGAAATAGATAAATATATTAGGATTCCTTAAATTAAGTTTTAAATCCTTATAAAACTATAGAAGTATTATTCTTTATTAAGATCCATAAGAACTAATATCTATACTTAAGATTTTCTTTTCTCAGCATCGTGTTCAGTAATCACAAGATGGCTGCTGCCACATCAGCTGAAAATTATCTCTGCTTGCTGGAGCTGCTTTCCCAAAACTGCATTCCATAAAGACCTGCCTATCACAATAGACCCACCCTTAATCCAACCCTGAATGGAATCTATGACACCTATTAAACTAATAATTAAAACATGTAGCTCCTCACCCATTTACTTGCATTTTCAATAAAAAGGCACGATGATTCCTAGCAGTGGTCACTCCTCAGAGAGCAATCTCTAGGGGTGTCTGACTGAGGACGTGCATAAAAAGGCACTGAGGCCTTAGTCTTCCTTTCTAGAGTCACCTCCGACCAGTCAACCCACCCCCGCCGAGGCTGGACCCCGGCACTCCACAATATCTTCTCTGGTGTGAGCGGCATCGTGGGAGGCTGTGTGAGCTCCATTCCTCTGCCACGGTGCACTGGCTGCTTCGGCCCTCTCTCCCCGACCCTGACCCACATGTTCTCCCCATATCCTCACCCTCTACAACCACCCCTCACTAACTTATCCACTCCTTCTGCTTTGCTCTCGTCAAGTGCATTCCAATGTTAGTCAAACTGGCCAGTGACCGGCAGCGACTCGTCTGTCAGTACAGAAGTTTGTTTTAATCGTCAAGTGGGGGCATGCTCTTACCAGAGAGAGAGAATACACCCCAAATGTGGCGTGATCACATCACAGTTCCTTCACTATTCCCCACCCTGGTGGTATTATGCACGCACACACACACACACACACACACACACACACACACACACACGATGGGCTAGGACTCAAAGCCCCAGGGGCTAGGAGGTCAACCATGTGAGATCTAACTCCCTGACCACTGCCCTGCAGGGCCCACCCCACAGATGGGTTTTATAATCGAGTCCAACAGTCCTGTCGGAGCCAAGCCCTTAAGACAAACCTAGTAGTTTATCATTTTTTTTGATAAAACTCTTCCAGATCCAAGTTTTGGATTCCAAAAATAGGTCTTAGAACAAAGTTTTTGTGTCACTTTCCATGTAAATTTCTCATTCACTTTTCACCTGAAATTTCCACTTAAGGTTTGTTTGTTTGTTTTTTTCCCCATCCCTACACCCCCTTTACAGCTGCTGTATCTGTCTGTCTTATCCACCTATCTTAGCTGGTCCACGCTACATCACAGCATACCACAGGCAGGAGCTTAGAGAACAAACATTTCTTTCTCACATTTCTGGAAGCTGGAAGGCCAAGATCAAGGTGCAGGCATATCCCATGTCCGGCGAGGGCCCTCTTCCTGGTTTGCAGATGAGCACCTTCTTGTCATATCCCCAATGACAGAGAGCAGAGAGGAGAGAGCAAGCGTCCCTTTTTATTTCACTGCCACAGAGCTCCACCCCTATGAGCCTCACCTCCCACAGGCCCCACCCTAGGGATGGATCAAGACACCCAGGTTAAGATTTTAGCATATATGAACTTTAGGAATTCTTGTACTGATAACTTCATCCCCACCCATCTTTCTCTGTACCATAGATCAGGCAAATTGTTTCACAAGCCAGTCTCCATTTGGAGACACAGTGACTCAGATTCCAGTTCGCCCGGTGCCTGGCAGGTCTGAACCTCTGGCCGTTATCTCCTTCATCACACTGTAGACTGTGTGGGGATCTGGGGACTGGGATGGGAAAAAGGGTTGTTGACCAACAGGACTATGAGTCAGTGTCCCAAGGGGCCAACGAATGCTTGCTCCCCAGATGGTTCTCCTGCTACTAAGGTTGAAGAACCTCAATTTGAGATCACAGTTCCAGCCCCTGGCCTGGAGGAGGGGCCTTGAATCCCTCCTGAGCTGAGCCTGCTCTGTGCAGGTCCAGACCTGAGAAGGGAGGGGATGACCAGGCTGCTGCTGCTGAGGGAAAACTGGGTGTGGTGGTGGGGAGGTCTCACATAACTACCTCTACTCCACAGAAGTAACTTGTACACGTCTGGAAAATCACAGGAAAGAGAACACCATGCTTATTTGGGATCCTAAAATTTGGTTTATAACCCCAAAGCTATAGACAAAGATGGAACTGCCAGATAGGACATAAATGACTTAGATAGGAGCAAGTATCCCTTCCTTCCTATCTCCCTGGATGGTCCTTAATCTGGATCTATTCTTTTCCTCAAGTCCAAAGAGATGAAGTTTGAAAATGAATTGGATTGAGTTTTTAAATCTCTGAACGTGAGTCAAAGGTCTCCTTGTGGAGGTGCAGGAGTGGCTCCCTTTTACTCAGGTCACACTTTTGGGTCCTTCAAAGATTCTTGGCAGCATCAGTGCAGGGACTGGGTGGGGAGTGGCAGCCCTGGGCAAGGGGACTACCTGATCCTGCAGGTGCAAGTCCATCTCAGCGGCCCGATGACTCAGTAAGGAAGTCACTGTCCTGCCCAATGCTTGATCTCCTCCAGTTTCCATTGCTGCTCCAAGGAGGAGGCCAGGCAGCTGGAAATGACAGCAGGAGTCAAAACTATCCTTTGTTGCTGCTGCAGGTCTAGACGTGGGGGTGGTCACTGAGTGCATGTCTGAGACTCCAAGCTAAAACCCAGCCCCAGATAGGGACTCAAACCTGTGAAAGTACCTATCTATACAAGTAAACAGCAAAGACAATAAAAACATACTTCTGTGTTGATGCTGATGGAAATAACTACTCTGTAAAAATAATAATTAATGTGGTTTCTTACTAAGCATGAAATTGAGTGACCAGGTCAGGAGAAAGACAAGCGTGTTTCTCGGGGTGCTGAGATGCAGTGGTTCCTTTTATTTAGCTCTGAGAGCAGCAGAGTTGCCAGTCAGCATAAGGAGTCTTCTACATTGACCGGCCCAGAAAGGTGGGACACCAGGAAGCTGAGGCTTGAAGGTTATAGGTGAGTTTGAAATTCATAGTGATGGGTTAAAGGTGCATGTCTGAGACTCCAAGCTAAAACCCAGCCCCAGATAGGGACTCAAACCTGTGAAAGTACCTATCTATACAAGTAAACAGCAAAGACAATAAAAACATACTTCTGTGTTGATGCTGATGGAAATAACTACTCTGTAAAAATAATAATTAATGTGGTTTCTTACTAAGCATGAAATTGAGTGACCAGGTCAGGAGAAAGACAAGCGTGTTTCTCGGGGTGCTGAGATGCAGTGGTTCCTTTTATTTAGCTCTGAGAGCAGCAGAGTTGCCAGTCAGCATAAGGAGTCTTCTACATTGACCGGCCCAGAAAGGTGGGACACCAGGAAGCTGAGGCTTGAAGGTTATAGGTGAGTTTGAAATTCATAGTGATGGGTTAAAGAAAAACACAAGTCTCTGTTCTTGAAAGAAATTAGAAAAGAATATTTGTGCTTTATTCTAAGATATAAACAGGCTTACTATGCATCATAAAAATACTGCCTGGGACTGGATGTATCAATGGTCTGTTAATTTTCATAGGGCTCTGTTAATGTTTGTTAGTGACTCTCCCAGGTTCCCTAAAGATAACTTTGGAATAGGAAAAAGAGTCATAATTCTATCCTTGTCGATAACCTTATAGATGTGATTTGTAGAACGATAATAGGACAAAGAGGGGAGAGGGATCAAGCTATACTGAGTGAAGATTTTGTACACTAATGGAATTATTAATAAATTCATATTATAGGTTGAGCATCCTTAATCTGAAAATCTGAAATCTAAACTGCTCTAAAATCTGCAACTTTCTGAGTACCAATATGACATGTTGAGTGGAAAATTCCATGCCTGAGCTCATGGTGAGGGTTGCAGTGCAAATGCAGCAATATGGCAGCTCTGCACTGCGGCAGCGATGCACTGCTCAAGAGAAGCTGGATCCCACATGGCGACCACAGTTCAAATCCCTGTCCTGGTCAGCATGAGACACACACAGGGCACCTGCACGCGTGCCCAGGACCCAAAGATCTGGACGACTGGAGGGAGGGGATCAGAGCATGAATAAACCAATGGCGGGGGCTCCTCTTGTGGTAGGCAGTCCTAAGAAAATAGTGAAGGGACATCAGTCACATTAATTACAACTCATTAGGAGTTACAACCAGACCCTCTGCAGAGTCTCCTCGTGCTGGGAAGGAGGGGAAAATTCCATTTTTTTTCCTTTAGTACCTGAAAAAAATACATAGGGCAAATTGTTAATTTCCCTCTTATCA